GCTGGTCAGGTGAAACTGAATCCTGATTTTAAGTCAATGACAACTCTAAATAGAGGTAAATTCTTACACTATGGTCACTCCATCCAAAAGCTCGAGAGCTGAATGTGTCAACAAGCTCCCAACTAGACAGGTCAAATGGAGGCCATCTTTACATTGTAGTCTTTCCACATAGCGTAAACACAGAATATGATTCAAATTCTCCCACTTGGAAGCAAGGAAGTTGGGGGTTCTAGCCTCCACCTCATCTATTAGTTGATTATTTATTTCCTAATTCCATGTCCCACATGTACTTTTTTTTCCCCCTGCACAGACAAGAATGTAAATAGAGGCTATACCTGGGTGCCAGTGGTACCTATTACAGTTAAAAACAGCCTGGGCTCCTTTCGGTGACTTCTAAGCCCGCTATAGTGACTTCCTGCTACAATTCAAGCAGAACTCTAAGTTTTAATCATGTCTACATGTTACATGCTGTGACTTCAAGCTCCCTTTGCCAATGTCATGCAGCTCTAAAGGTGCTTTCACTTTTGCAAACACATCTAGCTCTCCACTGACTAAGGCCTTTGCACATAGTAACTTGGCCACCTGGAATCTGCCTGTGGGCTCCTCATTCTCACTCCCCCCAACTCTCTCATTTCCTGCCATGCCCCTGCTCTCAAGTTAAATTCCATGTTTTGCGAGTATGCTACTGAAAGCTAACATTTTGCTCCCATCATTTAGTTTCTTGGTACCTTTGGAGTTTCTTGTGTCATGATTTTTGGTTATTAATCACTTCTGTCAATCATAAAATGTTTGGCACTGTTCTCATCATCTAATACTATGCCAACATATTGTAAAGACTCAATATATGGTTATTTAATTTTGAATGAATAAATGAATGAATTAATAAAGGGGATCTTTAACAGTGTTGTGGGTATAAGAGAAACCCAGAGGCACACACTTCTGGAGTAACCGAGGGCGCTATATAAATCTGTTTGAACAGTCAGCCTAAATGGGTTGACAGCTATGTGTGGAGAAGGTGTCTGGTCATGACCTTGCATGGTTACTGATTATCCTCTTACATACCAGATGGCTCAGGCCATTATCAAATTACATTCGCATTCATTCTGGACACCGGCCATGCCTTTGCCATCAGTTGCTTGCTTGTGCTAACGACACTGCTTAAGTGTGGCTTACGCTGGCATTTTCCGGTGGCTGAAACACACTAGTGGCAATACTAATGAATCAAAGATTCAAGAGAGTTTGGTGTGGATCTGTTCAGTTTTTAAGCATTGTAGAAACAGATTGTGACATAACCCTGTGGCTTTATTTTCAGTGTTTGTCTTGAGTGCGGAGCACCCACACAGAACCTCTAGAAGGATGATCATCATAGTAAAATCACCGATATTGCTCACTGGCAAAGAAACAATAAGGCTAATTATTTATGTCACTTTGTTCATGGAAAATGGTTCTGCTTCCTTCTCCCCTAGTCCTCCTATAATCAAATTTTGTGTAGTGATATCCCTCTTGCACAGACGAGCACAAAGAGAAAGTGTGCATGCATGCGTTCTCGGGTTGTGAGTGGAAAGCAAGGACTCGGGCTGCTAGGGGATTGTAATGGAGGGCTCTTTTCAATGAGTATCGGATCTTTTGGGCCCGAGATGTGAAAGAGAACAGAGAGGAAGAAATGTGCATGAGTGATAAGGTGCAGGACTGGAGAGAAACCTTCAGATTTTCCCAGTCTGAGTCCAGTGACAAACTCCAGATCAGAAACCAAACAAATTAAGTGTCCATATGCAGTCCAGGTATGAATAGAGAAGGACTTTTATGGGAGAAAAGGGGTCACACAGTGATTTCACATGTGAGAGGTTGTGTGCACATCCTAGAAGCATATGGGGAGGCCATTTTCACTGACATATTATTTTGAGTAAATACCCAAGCTTCTCAAGCTACGTGAATCTTTCAAGTTGGCAGTACCGTCTCTCAGTCCCTTAATATTTCCTTCACACCAGTTTGATTACCCCAAGGTTGGAGTGATAGAAATTGAATCTGCTGTATATGTGAATTTATGTGCACACTCCATGCTATGTATGAGGTGTGTGTAGAGGACAGAGCACAACATGCATTGGTTATTTCCTTCTATCACGTGGGTTCTAAAGATTGCTCACCGGGTCTGGTGGCAAGCATTTTTACTTTCTTGGAAGCATGTAAACGGCCCAATGTAGCTTTTTAGATGAGGCAAATTTACTGAAATAAATAAAATAAACAAATGGGACCAATTATAAGCCAATAATGTAATGCCATGACAGCCAATGAAGTTTCTGAGCTACTTTTCAAGGGGAAAAAAGTTGGCTTACTAAACCTAAAATCACAAAATCCTTAATAGCTAATTTAGTATGTGGGTATGTGTGTGTATGCTGTCAGGGAGGGAGGAAGAGAGAGGGGAGAGAGATTAAGATTATTCTCTTCTTTAATTTACTTTGAGGTATAAACAACACTCTTTTTCATAATTTCTATGCAAAGCTTGTGATTTCTAGGGAATTGGATTCTATCCCCAATGTCACTTGTCCCAAGCACTCCCATTCTTTAGTCCTGCCTTTTATCACACCTTCTTGTATTTAGAAAATATATAAAGATCACTTCAGTCTTACAATATTACTAAACACTTGTACTTCTGCTTAGAAGGTAACAGCTCATGCAGAAAGCTATGACACATTCCTAAGTCAAACAGACCCTAAGAGCTTTTGAAATGGAACTGCCAAACTTAATTAGTAGAGAAAGTCCATATATGTGAGGAATGGGTGGTTCTACTCCTATAAAAAATATTTATACTCTCCATAACTTACTGTATCAGTGACAACAGCAAGGTGGCATAATATATTGCACTATAAAACCACTGTATTGCTTTGTGAAAGCTACACGATTTAATCGAAAAAAGATGTCGCCTGTGTATTGGTGAAAGTACTTGTCACTACATGCTGGAAAATTGCCGAGTAGTCAGATTCTCAGTGTGCTTGCACAGTCAATGAACAGGTAAATCCAAGAAACCCCAAAATGTCAACAAAGGAACTTGACTCCCTTTAAAAGTCTTTGACTTCAAAGCAAGCGTCACTTTCCCTTTTAGCAAGAACTGGCCGAAACTTTGTATACAATATATTCCAATTATGTTACCATATTATTCGTGGTCCATGAGGCATGAGCTGAAAATTGATATTAGTCATATACACTGATCCCTTTATTACCGTATGCACGTGACAAAATTTTGTTCACCACAAATGTGCAGGCTCAGTAGGCAGATGGTAGCTGCTGAGTTCCTCAAACTTGAAGAGGTTAAATTTAAACACAATTGGCTGGTTCACACATTTGTGTAAGGGACTTGGATGAATCCAAATTGAATTTGACATTACAGATATTTGTACTGTCTTATTGGATGACTGCCTGATTCTGACATGGTCTTCTTTCCTGGTTTCTTTCTCTAGGTCTTTCAAGGGATGCTTCTGCATGAATTCATGGATGGGTGTGAGCTAACAGGTATAGCCCTCTAGGCTAGCTCTTACACTGAGTGATAGCCGCTGGCTCCAGAATGGGAAAACATATGCCTCACAGACTGTGTGTTCGCAGGACTGTCTTCTAAAGTGAGGCTCTGCAGACAGAGGAGCCTCCTTTCTTCTCACTGCGCTAAGGCCACCCTTCAGAGAACATGACTCGATAATAACATTTGCAGCCACTCAAATCAAGTTCGCTTATTTATGTTTAGGAAGGTTAGGGAATTTTATGCAAAACTCTAAATTTCTGTGTGTCCTGAAAAACTGAAATTGTGGCAATATGGTTATGGTAAATTCACCTATATGTAAATTTTTATAGGCTCCCATTTCACATAATGTACACTCCCTTGCTTAGCAAAGTGACACCCCAACATGAACCCTGATTTACCTACTTATTTTTGTTTTAAACTTGGCTTTCTTGTTCTAGTCTTGCTTGATGGATTCCTTACATTCGCTTTTGGTGTGTTAAACGTTCTACCGAATTCTCTGGCAAATATTTCTCTATTTTAATTTTTTCATCAAACGTATAATTCTTAAGGTTCATGGTTTTAATTTCAATCTGACTGACAGATGAAAGGTAGTTTTCAAAAAGAATATTGCTTGGCACTTGAATCTGTGCTGTAAGACCAAGAAATGGCTGCTAGAATGAACTTTTTTCTTTGTTTTGGGCAGGAGTTTGGCTCTGTATCCTACGCTGACTTTGAACTCACAGTCCTACATTTATCTTTCAAGTGCTTGGCTATCAAGTGATGGCTAGCTATCACTTGCAAACACACCTGGATACTGGTGCAAATCGTATGTTACCGTTTAGCAAATATCTACAGAAGTGTTTGGAAGTCTCGATTTTACAGTTAAGATCCTATTTCTATTTCTAGATACTTTCTACAGGCCTTCAAGATACAGAATCAAAATTTCTGCTTAATAGTTCACACAGTCAATCCAACCTCAGGCTTTCTTGGTAGACTAAAAAGGGGGTGTCTTGAGTCTTACTTGAGGTTTGATACTTAAAAAGTCCAGACTCAGGGCCTGCGGTGCTGTTGATTTACTAAGTGGCTCTGACAACACAGATGCCAGAGAATGATTTTGGGAGGAAAAAAAAAATTGCAGTTTTGAGATGATATGGTAACAGGAGTGTAAAATCCCTTTAAAATGTTCCCCAGGAAAATTAGACCTTAGGTAGATGCTTACCTCTTAGCTCAGCTCAAAACTTAACTCCAAATAGACAGGGAAAATGGAGTTTTTGTTTGTTCATTTGGCATGTGTGTGAACCACATATATATTATCAGAGTAACCCACATAAAAGCCCTGTAATTGTAACTGGATATTTTACTAAAATCATATTAATGCATTTCTAGGTTTCAAAATATTATTGTTGGATATAGTAGCCTCTAGAGATTCCAAGACCTCCTAGCTAACTACAAACACGAGCAAGGGTGTTTTCATGGTTTGGTTAAAGCAGAGTTTGGAACGCTACATGGCAAACAAAGAGGACAAGTGGGTTAAAAAAGAACTTATTTACCACTTTAATAGGGCTGTCCAACACTTGGTCACATAGATCATTGTGAAACCTAATTGCTTTCATAGCCTTCCTATCTCACCCGAGGAGATGCAAATACTCTAGGAAAAAGCAAATCAAACATAGAAAGAGGTGCCATGAGAAGACTTGTCGCTACAGCACTACGTAGTCAACAACGCCAGACTTTGGATTTAATCAGAGGACACTTCTGCAGTCTAAGACAGCTGTACAAAGCCCTAAGACATCGTATTTACAGGACTTACTGATACAGGGGGCCTACATCCTACCATCCTGCTAGAGTCTTAATAGCATGGTGGAGCAGCTCCCTTGAGAATCCTCATTTGCTTATCTGTGGAAAAGCTAGTAGTTCTAAAAATATTTTCCTGGAAGAGGTTAGACCGGTTATTATATATCAATTGAATATAAAGTATGGTTATGTAAGCCAAGCTTGCATGCTAATATTGCACAGGGTAGAAAGCAATAAAACAAGACGATGGAGCTTCGTTGGGTCGAAACAGGGGGAAGCTCTTGACTCAGTATTGTTAGGATGCCTCAGATTCCAGGAGTCCGCCTGCAGCTGGCCTTCCAGGGAGAGTGCCATGTTGGATTCTCACACGGGCGTGTATCTTCCTCACCGAGAGAAAAAGAAATGGCAAACGAAACAAAACCGACCAAATATCCAAAACTTGAAAGGGCTACGCCAGCCACCTCACACTGTGGTACTGTCCATTTCTTGAAGAGAATATATAATATTTCAAAATATTATATATATACATATATTTCAAATGGTACAAAGTAACTGTAGTTCCAAATTAGAAGGTGGTTGATCGTTCTTCATGATCCCCCAAATTTCACAGAGAAAACTCATTTCCTTTTAAAAGCCGTATCCCATGACGTTGCCAGAAAATCCCGAGTCTTCTTCTTTTGGGATGCTTTGTTTCAAAAAGCAAACACACTGTGATTATCTGGTAACCAGTGCAAGTGCAAATAAGATATCCATTTGGCTTGCAAGTATGTAAGATGTTTTAAATCCTCATGATGTATCTTCCACAGGTTGTTTTTTCTTACTTATATACACAAATGCTTCTGTTAGGTTCTTGGATGAATCTGAAACCAAAGAAAAAAGATGTTTTAGTTAGAATAGTAAGAAATGAAGGCACAAAGAAATTCGTTCTTACAGAAAGAGAGGATGCCTTTCATTTTATTGTGTTGCCTTATTCAGGTGGTTCTCAAGTGATGCTCAAAGCGTATGGACTGATCCTCCCTATTTCCACAAATCCATTAAGTTTCTCTGTGTCAAAACTGAGGAGAAAGATTCTTAGAGAAATGTTTACCCAGAACTGGCTTCATGGGTATATAATCTCTATCCATTCCATGGATTCTGTCTCAATAAGGCTCCACAGTTGCCTTATTTATTTATTTGTTTGTTTGTTTATTTATTTTACTGTGGCTGTTGTGAATTTACAAATAGATTCTTAATGAGGGCCTTACATCTTCTTGTTGCACTAGGCCATGCAAATTATGTAATTAATCTCTGCTCCTATAATGAGAATTTGAGCTGGTCACCCCATGGCCTTGTGAAGTTGTCTGTTGTAAGACACCGAGGAGTGCTGTTGGTAAAATCATTGCCCAGATTAGTCCATGTCTATGGAGTAGCAGAGAGGGACCTTTATAAGATGAGGAACCATCTGTTAATTGGAATCAAGAATATGCAAGGATATACATAGGGCACTTAATCCATTTCATTATGAACCAAAGACTCAAATATTGAGGGCACATGCATGCTTAAGGAGCCACTGGCTGAAAACATGAATGATGACTCTAGCAAGGAGAAGCCAGCTTTAAGAAATAAGCTATTGTTTTTCATCATCTCAATTTTTTGTGATGTTGGAACAAAAGCCAGGGTGTTGTGCATACCAGGATATCAGAAATGCACTCCTAGATATCTTAATTTTTTTATAGCTTTGGAAAATGATCCTTCTGAGACAAGAAGAACAAATCAATTAAAATCTTTTAGAATTAGCTAGAATAATAATAAAAATTTGCTCTTAAACATTTCTTGGTCCAGGTGAAGAATATAAGGAAATTTTTCATAAATTTCTTTTGTGTTTTCTCCTTACAAATAATAGATCTTTGACACTTCCATTTTTTTTTATTCCAATGGCTGACATAACCTTTGGTTGACAGTGTCTTCCTTTCCACTACAAAAAGGACCAAAGCAGCATTTACCGAACTGAATTGAAATTGCCTTTCTTTCATCTCTAATTTTATTCCCTACCCCAATGCAGAAGGCTAGGAACGCTGTCCTATTGCCATCAAACCCTGGAACCATCAACACATTAAAATTAGATAGCATATTACCTGTATTTACTGACTAAAGCAATTAATGAATTTATTGCTTTCAGGGGCACCTGTGACTACATAAAATGGTTCAACTTCCTTTCCTGCAATTCTGTAAATTGCTCAACCATCTCCATGTCTGATGTCTCTTTCTTATCTTTCAATTGTCTTTTTTTTAGACAGCAATTTGATATTACCTCTTTGGAGGTTGGTACCCTTCTCTCCCTCCATTTCAGTACTTCAGCTGGAAATTGAATGGTAATCAGAATTGTAATGCTATAAGCGCTCAAAGCATTTTAGATCTGGTACAATTGTTGTGAAGAAGAACAAGGGGCTAGAAGGTGTCCAAACTGGAATTCTCTTTTTAAATATATAAGAAGTGTTGGGATAATTAGAATGGCTATATATTGCCAAATTCAAAGTTATCATCAGAGGGATAGAGGAGAGAGCATTGACAGAGGACTTTGGAGGTTTGTGTTACGGTGATTGACAAGACGGCTGGTATGCTTTGTTGTGGTTATGCAATTTAAGGTCTGATAACTCCTCTTAGGAAACAAAACTTAAGTTTACAAGACACTGTAATTATTCTCTCCCCCCCCCATTTGGTTGAAGCAAATCTACAGTTAATCAATTTTTCCCAAGGAAATCAATCAGACTATGTTCTGCAAGCTCTATCTTTTTGTTTTTCTTTCCAACTGATTATAATTTTCTCTGAATTCCATCCCTCTTCCTTTCATCTCGTCACAGCACCTGACAATATATTTCCAGATAATAGTTAGCATATCAGAGTAAGATAACTTGTTTCCTCTGTGGGGAATTCTTCTCTTCTAAGTCACACCATTACACTACTTAATCAAGGTTTCTAAGTTCCTGAACGTGGGTAGAGCCTCAACAACATTCCATATCTTTCTATATTAGTTTAAATAAAATAAATGTTAAGAAACATCTGGAAACACAGAAAAAAATTCAAGGCGACATTTAGTCTAGTTTTGCTACTATACAACAATAAAACAATTCTAATCAAATAACCAATGATCAAAGAGGGACATGTGTAGCCATAAAACTCTGTGATGATAGCCCAAACTTCTGCCCAGGGTGTGAAAGCAGTGTTATCATACTTCACGCTGAATCTTGACACTCTCTCAAACGTGAATACTTCCTTGCTATACCATGACTTCCAGGGATCTTAAATCTTCTTAAGATTCATCACTCCAAATCCCTTGATAGAAAGTGCTTCACCTAGTTCGCCCTATCTTTTCTACCTCCTTAGGTTAGACTGTCTCTGACAGCCACCATTACCAAGAATCTTCTTCATTGTGGCTTGCTACTCAGGCCTGTCTCTTCTGGGGACTTTTCGTTGAGATGATATATGGAATTTTTACTATCCAGCCCTCCTTTAAAAATGAACACTGGAAATCTTTAAAGTAGACCACACAGCAAAACATCTCTTGCTTATCTATATTTCAGAAACTTTCTGAGTCTTTTTACCAGAAGGCTTTGAATGGGAAAAGAAGTCCCTGGAAACCTTGTGACAAAGACCTTTACCTGGGAATGTATTTTATTTATTTATATGTGGTTATTTATATGTGGTATGTGCATGTTTTTTGGCGTGTGTGTGTACACACGTGTGTCCTTCTAGTACCCTGCTCTGCTATTTTTAAGACAGGGTCATTATTGAACCCAGAGCTCACAGATTTGGCAAGAATAATTGGCCAGCAAGTTCCAGGGATCCTCCTGTCTCTGCTTCCCCAGCAGCAGGATATAGGCATGTTCCATCTTGGCTTGTTATGTGGGGCATGGGAATCTGAATTCAGTTCTTTAGGCTTGCATATCAAGGGCTTTTGCAGCTGCATCATCTCTCTGGCCCAAGAGTTAATATTTAAACTAACAGCCCGAAAGAAGTGTTCACTTGACATTTTAACAGTTAACAGTTTAGAGTGGTCTTTTCAACTTTTCCTTTTTGTAAATTGTGGCCAGTGATCTTTTAAGACTAGTCTTACATATAATAAGAAAAGAAGTGGTTTCTTTTGTTTTTTCTTACCTCTTAGATAACAATAAAAATTGAACTCATAACGCTTAAAGTCCCTCTGTGAAGTAATCTATTTTAAATGCTAAATTGTTAGAGTCAATATTTGAAGTGGGTAGGTATATATGCATTCTGATGGGAAAAGCACCCATGGGTCTACAAAAAAATGAGCATAGACCTTACTTTCAGAGCATTTGATCTAAGAATTGTTGTTAGTCTACCATTAGAATGTAGGCTCCTAGATGCATGTCTGGGCTCAACCACTGTGTTTTCTCTTTAAATGTAAGTTTGACATCCAGGAGTTCTGGGGAATCTCGCAGAGAAAAGGTGAAAGCAGTGTTTGAATATTCTCAGTGTTTATAAAGCAAGGCTTTCTCCGGTGTCCTCTTCCCCCCATCTAAGAGAACTCTTGAGAATTTTCAGCTGTGTGCGTGGCAGAACACATACACTCTACACTTTCAAAGCGCCATCAGCCACAGGTCACTTTTCTTGTAGCTTCAGCTGCCCAGGGTGGGGCAAATAGAGTGCTCCCTCCTCAGCACAGTGACCAGGTTCTGCACATGCCCCGTTTGATGAGGAAGGAGTGTGGGGGTGCACTAGAACATGCCTGATGGCTAAAGTAGACTCCAAAATAAGATAGAGGCCAAATTTAAACAAAAGCTGCACAGCTCTCAAAAAAAGTAGCAGGCACTATTTCTGGGTGTTTTCATTTTTCAGTTTTGAGCATAAAGTCTATCTTCCAAAGAGTCTCTGAGTTAGTGTTCTTGGAATTTTCTACACTTAAGTGATGAAATAATTGAGTCAGATTAGTTTTCTTTAATGAGCTTTTTCATTCTAAGTCACTATGAGAGTAAGGGGTACCTTCTATATAGAGTATCAGTCATCAGTTGACCACGGACTGAGACTTGGCAAAGGACACTTAAGTGATGTGTTCAAACTGAATGTGATTGAACTGTAAGTCTAATTCAGAGCAGTGTCAAGTATTCTAGCTTGTCCAGGTACCTTTCAGATGAAACATAACCATATGCAAATCTGACCTCTTCTACCAGCTAATTAAAACAAATTCTTTTGAGGTATCCCAGGCCAGCCTCTCTTCTAGATGTTTCCTTATTTAAGCATTTAATTGCAATGAGAAGCAAAAATCTATGCTGAATTATTCAGAGACATGAGGACACATATTAACAAGTTAAGGTGACTCTGAAATCCCTCTTGACCACAAGCCAAGGAATTATGGCCAAAATTTTTTGGCCACTATAGTCCATACAGGCAATTATATTGACACACCTTTATTTTATATATGAAAAACTTGAGTGTTTTTATACAGCATTATATAACTTTTCTTTTTCTGATTTCTGTATCATATAGTCCACTTTTATTTATTGGAAGTAGGATATTGGGAAGAAAGAGCATATCAAGTTTCATAATACAGTGACTAGAATTGGGGATGCTTTTCAAAATCTGTGTCACCTTTCGTTACAGTAAATGTTTATCATGTGGACTTTACAACTGGTAAAGGTCACTTTTTAAATGACTAATAAATAAACAAATAAACATACACATGCCTACACACATACACACAAACACTCTCCAGGGTTGATACGCTGACAATTGAATGGTATACAGCATAGGGTGATACTAGCTGTTAAACTGTGTTCATGTCTTTGTACTAGTGGATAAAGAATCCCTCTTAAGCATCCAGAGCTCCACCCACCTTCTCCCCTGTAGGTGTCACCCAAGTCCAATCCCTCCGTGGTGAATGGTTGGTATAGCCACATCCATCTACCCTGGTATGGCACCATAACACTCATACTAATGGGGGAAACAGCTTCGCCCTCCATACTTTATAATTTTAGGAAGCTCCTGGTTTAACCAGAGAAATCAAGGAATAATTACTGACCTTACAAATCTTTTTGCACTTCTCTAAAAGGTCATTAAAATTCCTTTAAACATGACTGTACTAAAAAAAAAAAAAAAAAAAAAACACTGGAGAGAGAATAAATGCCAGAGTCCTGAAAGTGTGGAGCTGGGGAAAGAACAAGGTTGTTCCTGCTTTCCCCTTGCTGCTCCTAGTTGCTGTTGTGAGACAAGAAGATGGAGCTCTCCCGAAATGAGGACTGGACTGGCTCCCAGGACCTGGATGACCCTGACCAGCAGGAAGCAGCTAAGAAAGAACCTGGCCCCTCTCCCACTAACCTTTTCTGTCTCCTACCTGGTGTTGGGGTGATGGAAGAGACTGAGGTGGAGTAGGGAGAAAAAGATATAAGAAACATAACTAAAAGAGGGGTTTTTTTGTTGTTGTTGTTTGTTTTTTTAAGTACATCAACAAAACACAGTCTTTGTCAGCATGCTGCCTGAATGAATCAAGCAAGGAATGTGAATATCATTCTGAACACCCTGTTTGCAAGGTGTAACACTCAAGCAACTTCCTAATCATTGCCTGCCCTGGGGATTTATCTGTGACTCTGGAACATAAATGAAGAACTACATCATGCAGAAAGGTCAGGGTCAAACTCTAACTTCTAATTCATGGATGGACACTGACCCATCTAGTCCAGAATATGTCCCGTTAAAGGACATCTTTCCTCCTGTCCCATCCCAAGCCCTTCTGACTGCTAATGCAAGAGCAAAGCAGGCAGCACAGGTTGAAACCGAGGCAGACTTACTCTTGTGGTCTTAATTTTGTTGCCTGTAGCACACATCCATCCGGAATTGTCGGGGAGCGTCTTGCATTCTTCTCCTTCTAGGCAGGGCTCCATCTCACACCACCATTTCCCAATGACTATGGAGGCTGTGCAAAAAACAAAAACAAAAACAAAAACAGGAAACAACTGTATTTGTACTTTACCAAGTAACCCTACATTCTGATGCTGTACCCATCTGCAGGCTTTAATGTTCTCTGCCACACAGTAGGTCGACTTCCATCTTCTAGACCTGGATAGGAAGTTACTTGCCAAGACAGCAAGTATCATAGTGCAAACACATCGATGTCACCTGGTTTTCTTATTCACCGCACTGTCCAAAATCACCTCATATAATTAAAAAAAAAAAAAAAAAAAAGAGGAACAGGGACATTTTTGTTTTGTGTCGCTCTGTCTGAGACAGAGTCTTGCTATATAGCTCTTCCTGGTCTGATACTTGCTACGTGGGAGATTTACTCTCAGATTTTGAGGGATTTTGACTCACTACTTTTTGTAGACCAGGGACCTTGTGCTATTTTTTTTCCAGTTAAAGGGACAAAGAGCTGAGTATTCTTCAGAATGACTGACGTATTCTTTTCAGAAAGGCCAGTTTATCCACCCAGCATTAGGTTTATCCCTTAGCCTAGGGCCTTGGAGAATTTCAAAGCCCTGGCAAAAGAAAGAAAAATGAGCTGAAAGCGCAGAAGCAAAGTTGTAAGGTACAAATCAAGAGTAATGATGAAAGAAAGTTTGTTCCGTCGCAGTCAAAGGTAAGTTGGTATGGGCTGTGGGTTCTCTTTCGTATGTTTGATAAGCTGTGGGGGGGGGGGGAACCTATTACAAGCCAAACTGCAGATCAAACTGTCTTTTGGAGGGTTATAGCAAGGATGGCCAAAAGGCACTGGCAACATATGTACATTCACACACACACACACACACACACATTATTGGGATTCAGATCCAGGACAAGCGGCTGAGGTGTCTATTTAACCAAAGTGGACCTGGCCTGCGGTTTCTCCCAGTATCCCTCTGTCCCTACCTGTTAGAAGGCATGGCTGGCACACTCCACCCTCTACCTTGAATTTTCAAGCCCAGGGGTGGGGCTTCCTCTTCTCCAGAGGCGCTTCATTATATAATCCAGAAATTTTGGTTCCCTTCTCTCTCTTTTTCTGTCTTCCCCTCTCTCTCTCTGCATTTCCTCTCTCTTTCTCTTTCTGCATTTCTTCTCTCCCCTCTCTAGGCATGCAATTTCTCTCTCTGCCCGCCCCCTTCCAGCAAAGAAAACAATGTCATGTTGAGAGGGAACAACAACAACAAAAAATGTTAAAACTTCCATAAACATGAGAAAAAAATAAAGATGTGCTGGTGTGAACTGACAACCTGCGATACGTGGTTCCCTTCAACTGCTGTTTAACCAGCAACAGTTTCCTCACATTTATCTCCAAGCCCGGTGTTTACCTTTTAAGGCCTAACCCCTATTTTCATACTGTGCCCCTGAACTGAAATCCCGGAGAACAGACATCATCTCATCATCTGGTTTTGCTCTTAGGAGAAGGATGCTCTCTCAACAATCCTTGCAGTAAGTAGTAAGTGTGCTGTCACAGTCCCCCCCACACTTCCTCTTTAGAGGGATAGTAATAAAAACCGGCTGGCAGTGAGGTCAGCGGGCAGTATTTGCGCCTGTTTCTAAAGACCTGCACATGCCCTGTCCTCCAGGCAGCTCTGGGCCCTCTTTGAGCTGACCTACTTTGCTTCAAGCTACTACCAAAGCAGTTTCCCTTTTTCTTAGGCATTAATATTTTCTCAGTAAATGTATAGACAGACGGGGGGGGGGGGATTTCCAACCTCATGAAGCACCTTTAATTCAAAGCTGTAAAGAGCCGCTGGCTGTTGCGGGGAAGGCTCGGTAAGAATGAGAAGTCCCCAGATATACTCATAACGGTAAAACATTCCTACTGTGGCTTTTCTTGCAGAATGAAGCGGCTGATCTGCCTCTCCTCTGCGAGTCTGCTCCATCCTTCAGCACCTCCTTCTTTGGTGGATTATCCAAATGTACAGGCATCTTCATACACATGTCTCTATAGCCTAGGTCAAGCTGCGGTCCCTAATTCTGGCATTTTTCATAAAACTTGTATTTTCTTCAGCATCTTTCATATGTATGACCCAAAGAGAGAATTCTAAACTACCCTGTTCCTCTACCCAAACTGGAAGCTATTTTAAACCTTCAGATTAGGGGAACAATAAGAATCTGTTAAGCTTCATAAAACGAGCTTGTATCAATGTGAGTTACCCGTTTCTGTATCTTTAAAAATGGAAATAAAATTACAATTAGAAAAAAATCAGTATAAAAATTCGTTTTTTTCTACTCAGTACATATTTATAAAATCATATAGATTGATATTACATAGTTATTGATATTCTCAAAACTTTGGTCAATTTTCTGAGATGATTTCAAATTCCCCATCCCCCCTTTTGTTGTTGTTGTTGTTGTTTGTTTGTTTTTGAGACAAGATTTCTCTGTGGCCTTGGCTGTCCTGGACTCACTTTGTAGACCAGGCTGGTCATGAACTAACAGAGCTCCACCTGCCTCCCTGAGTGCTGGGTTTACAGACGTGTGCCACAACACCTGGCTCAAATTTTATTTAATTGTTTCTTAATTTTAAGCATACATTTGTAATTAATACTTAGTTTTACTTCTATGCTCATAGTGCTTTTAATATAAATATCGTTTCCTTTGTCACTGAATATATGAAGGATGTAAAGGATTTTTTTTGTATAATGACTCATTTCTAAAAATTTTTATTAGGAAAAAAAAATCAAAGAGCTCACACCTTGAATCCCAGCACTCAGGAGGCAGAGGCAGGTCGATCTCTGAGTTCTAGTCACCCTGGTCTTCAGGAACAAGTTCCAGGACAGCCAGAGCTACACAGAGAAACTGTCTTGAAAAAGAAAAAAAAAAAAAAAAAAACACAACAAAACAAAACTGTATTATTTCAAACTGAGAATTTTTAAATTTAGAATGCTTTTATTTTCACAAATACTTACAGATTTATTTTTATGTGCATGCGTGCCTTGCCTGCATGTATGTCTCTGCACCCCAGTTGGACAATGGTCATGAAAGTTAAAAGGTGTGTAAAGTCCCTGTAGAACTGGAATAAACAGCTGAGAGCTGCCATGTGAACAGTGAGAACCAAACTCAGGTTATCTGCAAGAGCAAGAAATGCTCTTAACTGCTGAACCATTTCTCCAACCCCTCCAGCCACTTTTTGAAATATTTACTTAGAATATATAATTATGGGTTTATGTTAATACTTACACACACACACACACACACACACACACACACACACACAAACACACTTATATATGTACTATCCTCATAGCCTCATAGTCATTCCTGGTACATCCTTTCCTTATTCCAACTGGTTCCTTTCCCCAAGTCTCCTGTCTGCCTGCCTGTCTCTCCCTCTTTTCTTCTCTCCCTCACTCTCTCATACACACACAAACACACACACACTAGATTCTACACATGAATGAAACAATGTTTGTCCTTTTTTTTCTCATTACTTTTCTGTTTGCCCCACTCACTTCCTTTACATTCCTTCATCCTCCAATATAGTCTTTCCTTCATCACAAAATATATGTATATATAATTAAAATATACATTAAAAATCTAGATTCTTCATCTGAATAATTTTTAATTGTCTCAAATTATAGTAGATAATAATACAAATGATAACTGGTATTTACTGAATGTCAGTTTATGTGTCTGTATTAGTTTGTTTGTTTGTTTATTTATTTATTTATTTATTTATTTATTTATTTATTTATTTACAGTTCATTCACTTTATATCCCAGCTGTAGCTCCCTCCTTCAGCCCTTCCCAATCCCACCCTCCCTCCCCTTTCTCCCATGCTCCTCCCCTAGTCCACTGATAGGGGAGGCCCTTCCATCTGACCCTAGCTATCAGATCTCATCAGGACTGGCTGCATTGTCTTCCTCTGTGGCCTGGTAAGGCTGCTCCCCAACCCCTCAAGGGGAGGTGATCAAAAAGCCACCCACCGAGTTCATGTCAGAAACAGCCCCTGTTCCCTTACTAGGGAAAACTTAGTGACTGAGCTGCCATGGGCTACATCTGAGCAGGGGTTCTAGGTTATCTCCATGCATGGTCCTTGGATGGAGGGTCAGTCTCAGAAAAGACTCCTGTGCCCAGATTTTTCGTTTTTTTTTTTTTTTTTTTTTTTTAATTTTTATTTTGAGGATTTTTATTATGCAGGTTGCCTCACATGATCCACCTGCTTCTACCTCTGAGGGTTAGCATTAAAGCGATGTGCCACCGCTTCCGGCCCCTGTACAAAGAACTTAAAATGTATTAATCATCCTCACAGTGGTTACTGTCGAACCCTAGTGGTTAGCCTTTTCAGGTTCACGGAGGTAAGAAGGGTTCCAGGCCAGCTTAAACGTAATCCTTACAGTGCACACTTACTTATAGTTTTGTGCTCAGAATTCAGAGAGCTTAAAAACAATTATTGATTGCTGAGTGAATGGATTTTCCCTGCCACATTTCTGCTGAAAATAATTTCATGTCAAACACAAACACATACAAAAAAAAAAAATACATTCAATGTCTGATGAAATTAGTTTCAGCACGCTTGCTGCCTCTCTGGTCTGAGATGTGCGTTGCTCGATTCCATTAGTTACAACATTGTACAGAAATCCCCACCAGGGAACAATTTTGGAAGAGAGGGATGCTGTGCAGCAGATATGTAACTGTGACAAGGGCTTTTCATCCCTCAAAAAAACCGAGTTAATTAAACATCATCCGCGAAAGCGACTTCCTCTTATCCATAGTGATTATGAAAGGGGGCTTGACGGTCCCTTTTAACCCCAGGGTTCTGGGATTTGCTCCGTGAATGTGTCATGTGCAGGAAATATCTGATCTTCAGCTCTTTCAAGGATGTTCATGTCTCCCGGAGAGCTTCTTAAAAATCACTAAAGCCCCTTTAATCATGAGTGCTGGGTTTCTCCCTTATACCAGATCATACTGCCGCGGAGCCAAAGAAACTGTAAGAGGTGAATCAGTGAGAATCCAGACGGGCGGTCACCCTTT